CCCCGCCGACCCCGCCGCAGCGGCGGACGCAGCCTACCCCACAGCCTCCGCCATCGGGCGCGCAACGGGCGCCCATGTGGCCGGCCGCACCTTGAAGGAGCCGAGCAGGAAGCCGACCGCGGGGCGGCCTGCTTCGTCCAGCCCTATTGAGAACTCGGCCTTGTTCCTGTATCCCTCCAGCTGGGGTGACCTGATGATGGAGGCCAGGGGCGCCGCGGCCTGGGGGGAAGAGGGGCGGCGGAGAGGGAGTGGTTGCGCGTGGGGATGTGTGTGTGTGTGTGTGTGTGTGTGTGTGTGTGTGTGTGTGTGTGTGTGTGTGTGTGTGTGCATGTGCATGTGTGCGCATGTGCGTGTGTGTGTGTGTGTGTGTGTGCGCGCGCGTGCGTGTGGATGTGTGTGTGTGGAGTGAGTGCAGCAGCAGAGGGCGTAAGGAATGAAGAAGGCGGGCGCGTCCTGCGGGTTGCGTGGGAGCACGTTCACGCTTGCGAGTGTGGCCACAGGGTCAACGGCAGCCAGGCGCAGCGCCAGCGGCAGCGCGTAACAGGAGTGCACGTCGCCCTCCTTGGCGAAACGCCACGCGCCCGCCGCGCGCACCGCCCCGCACCTTGCCCGGCCGCTCGATCGCCTCCCGCAGCCACTGCGGCTGCTCCTGGTGCGCGTACCCCGCCCGGCACTGAGCGGTGACGTCAGCGAGCGCCCGCTGCACCGCCGCGGCCTTGCGCTGCAGCTGCTGCGAGTAGGGCACGTCCCACCAGGAGCAGACGGCGTCGCGGATGTCGCGCTTCTGCTGCTTGGCGGCCGGCCCGGCGGGGCGGGAGGGGCTGGCGGCGGGCGCTGCGTCGTCGGGGCCGCGCTTGCGCTGCTGCTGCTGCTGCTGCTGCTGCTGCTGCTGCTGCAGCTGCGGGGGCTGCTGCTGCTGCTGCGGCTGCTGCTGCTGCTGTAGGGCCTGCTGCTGCTGTGGGGGCTGCTGGGGCTGCTGAGCAGGCGGGTTAGGCGCAGCCGCCGCGGCGCCGCCGCGGCCGCCAGGTTTCTCATCCCCCGGCAGCTGCAGCCTGCACGGC